CTCTTTTTTCTTGAAATCTGCACATAATCTGTCTTCGAATGGCCTCAAACATAGTCAAAATAGGCTCTTCCCTAGCTTCCTTAATGTATTGATTGAAGCTCTCACATATATTATTACTTAAAAGGTCACATTTTGTCCTTGGAGAAAAGGTGTGTCTGGCCCATAGGTTAGCTGGTATGGAACTAAGCCATGCATGTGCTTCTGGGGCTACTAAATGTAACTCTCTCATTTTGCTTTCATAATGACAGGGTAAATAAGCCCTGGCTGCCCCCCACATTAAATCTCTTAGGTGCTTATCCTTGAATTTCAGTTTGAAATTAGCATACATGTGTCTAACACAGAATCGATGCTCCACTCCAGGATACTTATTCTCAATGCAATCAATTAATCCCTGACATAAAAACATAAATAACAGATTAGTGAAAGGAGTGAGTGAGGAATAAAGGAAAGTAAATCAGATTGTAGTGGTGCTGACCTTTTGTCTATCTGATAGAAACACCCAACCCCTTTCAATTGGAGTGCCAATGGCATCAGTAAGGCTGTCCAAAAACCACCCCCAACTATCTTTGCATTCAGATTCAACAAGTGCCATAGCAATTGGGAACATCTGGTTATTAGCATCCCTACCAATTGCAGACATAAGCTGTCCTCCCATGATCCCCTTAAGGTGACATGCATCCAGTCCTATTACAGGCCTACATGCATTTACAAAACCTTCTTTTTGTGCAGTAAACATCAGAAACATTCTCTTGAAGATTGGACTTTTACAAATATTGGACTTTTCAGTTACAATAAATGCCACTGAACCTGAATTTCTTTGTAAAAGTGTAGCACAATAGTCTCTTAATCTTGCATACTGCTTTGCACATGACCCTTTCACTGCTTCCTCTGCTTTCTCTCTTGCTCTATACATTTGAGAGTTTGTACAGTTCAGGTTATACTTCCTTTTTATGCTCTTCTTGAACCCTTTTACTTTCATATCCGGATGGTCAGCAATCTCCTCCATAAACATCCTAGACAGCCACCTAGAATTTGCACTCTTGTTCTTGAAAGACCATGGACATCTATGAGGTACGCCTTTAATGGACTTCACTTGAAGTGTAACTTTGCTTCCATTATAGCCACTAGCATATATTCTCCATCCACATTTATTTGAACATATAACCACAGCTTTATCTTTGTCATTCTTAGTGAAGGTAACTTCAAACCCATTCAAAATTGAATACATTCTAACTGCAGCTCTAAAATCATAAATATTGCTAAAAATTCTGCCTACAGTCAATTCAGGATTTTTTAGATCCCTTTCCATGTTAAACTCAGGAAATTCATGCTCCATGCCTTCATCATTTGAATCATAAACTGGTTTAAGTATTTCATCATCACTAACATCTTCATCATCGACCAGTTTTCCATGACCTTTGGAGTTAAGGTATGCATTATATTCTTCACTAATCAGTGCCACATACTTAGCATAATCAGTCTGTTTTAGGTGACAATCTACTTTACCACCATCCCTCTCTACATCATCTATAGGGTCACATGCATCATTTAAATCATCCCCATCTAGGAAAAAATCAAAGTCAGAGTCATATTCAACTTCCCTACAACCATCCCTATCACCTTCCTGTGAAGCATCTGAAGCATCACTTTCGGCCTCATCATTTTGGGGTTGATCAGCATTAGGATTTAGATTTTGTTTACCATTAACCTCAATATTATCCTCTGCAACAGTTCTATCAGCATGCAAATCTTCTTCAGGGATCTCACCAACATAAAGTTGTATGATGTTTTGAGTTCTATTTGCCTCAAACATTTCTATAACAATCTGGTCACTGTTTACCAGTTTAAGACCAACCTTAAAGTCAAGATTCCTAACCCTATAGTACACCTCTGTTTCATGTGATATTCCAGCATCTTTAAAAGCATCTCTTAACTCAAAAATTGACATCAAATCAGGGTCAACATCATCAAAATTAGCAACTTCTCCCCCCACATACTGTAAATTTGGGACATAGGCAAAATGGCCTCCGTAATGAACCTCTAAAACATAGGTTTTGAAGTCCATTCTTCTGTAATCACACAAAGGTAATTGTTTTTAGTGCATGCACAGGTAATACAGAGCAAGTATCTTTTATTGTCCCACAAAAATAAAAAAATCCTAGTTTGTCTATATAACAGCCAACATATAACCATCCAAATAAACAAAAAATCCAGCAAATTAATAATTAAAAAAGACAAACCCATCGTTTTCCATCCTAACCCGACAATGACTTGTTATGAACTTTAAGGGACCACACTAACAGATTTCAAACAAATAATTGTCTACATATTAAAACCCATGCAGTCATTAAAAAAACCCATACCATTGTTTCTATGCAATAAAATTGATTAACAATTAGAAATTTCTAAAATCGAGAAAAAATTGCAAAATCGAACCTCATAGATCTGCCCAAGCTCTCATAATCTCCTTTCACAATCTTCAAATTCAATTCTGCCGTCTGTTAACAACCACATCGCTTACCCATTTTTTCATTCAAGATTGCACCAGAATTTTCAATTTTGTTAGTGGACGTTTTGCTAAGGCTTCGGGCACCAGTGAAGAGAAAGTAAGTAACCCGACAAAGAAAAAAAGGAAGAGAAAGTGACCCGACATAGTCAAAAGGGGACCTTTGTCTGTTCTGTTCCCTAATTTCTTTTTCTTTTTCTGTCCCATGCCAGATGGAGGGAAATTTCCCTCCATTATTTCAGGGTAATTTTGGAAACTTGCATTTCATAAACCAGCGTATATGGGTATTTTGGGTTGTTCAATGTTTTCATAAGGATATTATTGTCTTTTCAATATTTCGTTTATGTCCATTAGAGTTGACTGTTAGTTTTTGGGGTAGACTGAGGAAAAACAAACGTTGGGGGGTAAAGTGAGAAACGGCCTATACTTAAATGGGATAAAGTGCGATTAACCCTTAATTTATAGAGGATTTATTGTAATTTGTATTAAGAAAACTACGTAGCATTCATTAAATTGAGAAATTAGTACTTTCATTCAATAACTTCAAGGCTAATTAACTATGCAGCTATAATTATTGCTAGCTATGACTGCATAAAAAGAAGAAGAAGAAAGTATCATACCCAATAATGCTGCACAAATATAGTATTGATGTATACATGCTTAAATTTAAGAACAAGTACTAGTTAGACTATTATGACACAGTTAAGAACAATTTTTAGTGTGGACGAATACAAGATTATAACTTTGCATGTTGGAAAATTAGAAATGAATAGATAATTTACATTTCTTTTATGATTTTAAAAAGCATTGCAAATATATGATAAAATTAATAGAACAAGATATTGTAACGAAATGATCATATATAAGAGCTAAATATTCGTTTTCTAATGCATTGCTACTTATCACGTGACTTCATCCTATAGTATCAGGTATGGTTGCAAAGAAAATGACCAAGAATAATTGCAAAGAAAATCAAATATTGTGCAAGAATTGCAAAAGTGTTAACAATAATTGGTAAGAATAATTATAAATTCATGGATTCAATTTGTAGTTTTGTGAAGTTGAAAGAAAGAACTCTTTTCATGATTCATGATCTAATTGCTTGAGTATATAGTAAAAAAGGGCTAAGAATATTTGCAAAACCTTATTAATCTTGTTTTCAGATTTATGAATTATAAATCGTAAGAACTGTGAAAGGATTAAGAATAATTGGTATTACAATGAGAAACAAATATTGTTTTTAGATTCGTATTGTAGTTGTGCGAAATAGAAAGAAAGAACTCATTTCATGATTCATGAATCATAAAGTACGATTTAATCATTTTCATTGAGATGTTGAAACATGAATGTAGTATATGTTATAGAAGGAATAAGAAAATTGACCAAAGAAAACTAATCTTTTCATGATGCATGAAGCAAAAAATAAAGTATAATTCATTCGCAATTGAAAGTGGGAGTGTAATTAACCCAATGGGTCTCTCGGTGGAAGTGTAATTTTTCCAGAGATAGACTTGCTAGTTCTTGCCGCTCAATTTTACTTTTCGTTTCATGAAAGATAAATCAGGCTTAGTTTTCGTTTCTTCCCACTCAATTTCGTCTCGAGAGATGGCAGCCCAACTTTACCTTCACGTGAGTAAACAAACTTTTCCTTCAATTTCCTCTGTACCGTTTTGTTACTACTTTATACTTATTTGTCCCCCCAATTTCAGACTTGTCAGCCGCTATAATTGCTTTGACTTTCAGTTCAATATTTGTGTCAGCCTAGTCATTCTAATACCAAAATTGAGTGGTTCAAACCGCTGTACCATTTTGAAGACGCTTCGGTGAATTGTAGGCTTCAACAACGTATGACGAAAAAACCTGCGCCCATCACGTAGCTCCGTGTCAGTGATCAATCAAACCTGACCCAACCTTTCGTGAATTGTAGGCTTCAACAGCGTATGACGAAAAAACCGGCGCCCATCACGTAGCTCCGTGTCAGTGATCAATCAAACCTGACCTAACCTTTCGTGATCAATCTACAACTTGCCACGTTAACGTCTTGGCTACCAGACGTGCATGCTTCATGCAACACTCGGATCTTCATTTTGTTTTATCAAGAAATTTCTGGCTAATCAATCAGATCGAGCAACATTTGTACATTGGTAATAAAATAAAATTCGCGTCAATCATCTCTTATCTGACAATGAAGTGCAGCTCAGTTTATAATGGATGGATCATTATTGTTGATTCTCTCTTTAAAATGAAAAATGAAACAAAATGAACCAAAATTCATTTTTTAGTTAGTCGAACAAAATTCTTGTCTTTGCGAGTAGTACACACTGACTTGTTTGCAATCACATTAAATTGATAAGTAAATCCAAACAATAATATGAACCCACAATCAACATAAAATAGAAGACAAATCACAACTAACATTGAATTGAATGCATGACACATAACTGAATGATCGAATGATTATCAAAAAAAAAAAAAGAAAGCCAACAGTAAATGATCATTTCATCAGCTCCAGGACTTTCTTCCAAGCAGGGCGGCCGGAGATGTCATTCCACCATGAATTCACACTCTTCCTCTCCCTAATCAAATGCCCGAATCCATTACCGGTCAATAAAAATGTGATGCCTGGAAGGTGACACATGTCTGCAATGGTATAATAATCCCCAGCAAGGTACTTGCTCTTCGACAGCCTTTCCTCGTACACATCAAGCACCTTATCGAGGTTGTCCACAAATTTCTGGACTAGTTTGAAATCTGTGGGCTTTCCCATCCTTGGCAGGACCTCCAGCTGAAGAACAAGACCATATATCATGTCATTGAAGTTGTGCGACTCCACTTCCAGCCATTGATCCACCAGTGCTTTCTCTTCCAAAGTGGTTCCCAAAAGGTTTGGACCATGCTCGGCATTCTTTGATGCATAGTACCTAACAATCGCCCTTGATTCTGTTCAAAAACAAAGACATTAATTATTATTAACGTAATACTTCTTTTTTTTTTTTTGGTATTTTTTTGCTTTTACATGCACAACATATTCCTAGATCCAAAGCTATAAAAAAAAAATTACACTAAAAAATATGTATTAGTTGTCAATTAAAAAGATACTTGATTTTGGCGGAGGATATTTTTCTTGTTGTTCCATGCTTCCATTTTCCACTCGGAAAACCAAGGTGTCCGTCCTTTATTTCTGCAGTCTTACCAAATTTGATGTCTTATGCATGACCATCTATCTATATTTAGTCCCTCACTAATTCTTCATAAAGTAAAGCTAATGTAAGACTTTTAACTAAAAGTTCGGAGAACCCTAACTAAAATTTGATAGGGACTCGTGATTTTATTTTTTCTTCCTAAAATGGTACACATGTTGGGTGCGTATTATCTACTTTTTTTTTTTTTTTTTGGTTAGAAGTCCTACATAGAATATATTTAAGTGGATCGATATGATGATATATTAACGAGTGATTGAATTGGTCACGGCTTCAAAGATAGGAGGAGCAAAAATAGTTACTTGTTGTACAAACCGCCGATTCTACTAGGCTTTTCTAATTTTTTGATACAAGTCCTGCATGCATGAAGATTATAACTAGATTAGAAAATGGTGATATGTAAATGACCAAATTAACTGTGACCCCAAAAATAATCCCACAGCTACAAAACGGAAACAGGTTTCTGGCAAAAAACTTCACCGCTTTTACGTCTCACCTCTTGATTACGTTTATAATTTGAGACGAAATACCTTGATCAATAACAAGGCGTCAAATTTTTACTGAATTTTGTCATATATTTTTTCTAAGCAAAAGTGGAATATTTTTGGAAACTTTAGTTCTTAATTATCCAAAAAAAGAAAAAAGAAGAATTCGCGATAAAAAGTTAAAAACGGGTGATACAAGAAGATCAGATGGTGATTTGTGAGAAAAACAATGGAGAGAAATGTAAACAAGGACAAAATAAAAACTGCAAGACATTTTCTCAATGGTCCAGGCTAATAAAACGTCACAAAAGGGCCAAAGTGCAACAAAAATCAAGCTCGGAGATAAAGGTAATTACACCAAAAGAACCGACGTCTTGAAGAATTTTTGGATGGACAAGCAACAAACCAGACCAACATCTCTCTCACTAGACAAGTGACGAACACATCACAACCGAAAAAATGCCATTATACTTCTCCAACAAATTTTACAATCAAATATAGACGGTACAAAAAGGATACGAGCCATGAAAGAGGCTACTGGCAAGGCGAGAAAAATGATAATACAAGGCGACAACGCCAAGCCTTGCCTCCGTCTGATCATAAGCAGATGTACAGACCTAATTCAAGAACTTCTATGATTGATACAATTTGCTAATCTTTCGGAATCCAATTCTCGAGAGACAAGAGAATTAAACACCATTTTACATCCAAAACCACTCTCAAAACCTAAAATCTGAAAAGGAAAAAGAAGCACCAAGATTTCACGGATGCATGTAATTTTTTACTCTTCAACGCACTAACTACTAATGTTGACATACGGAAAAAATGCAGCATGACAAAGCAATTGATGCGCACTGAAACCATGACGGAATACCATCCCTGTGACCCTGATCGATGAAGTACCCAAAAATGTATATTTTGTGAAAAGAAAAAAAAATGACACAGTACGCATTCTGAATATGAGAGACAAAAAAGGGAGGACTCAGACCAATGCAAAATGTGGGCAGACACCAGCAATATAAAATTATTTTTTTTAAAAAAAAAGTAAAATAATGGAGGATAAATGAAGCTGCAGGTCTAGCGGCTTGAGAGTATCACGAACCAAAATTTGCGCTTGAAAATGCCAACACCCCCAAGACTTCAAGACAAAAGCAGCACCAGGGTGGTAGGCAATCATGTCAAGTAGAGCACGAAATAGCCCAATGAACAATCAATAACCAACCAACGTTAAATGTCCATTCCGCAGCTCATAGTAACATTTCTGTCCAACCTCAATCTCCAGCAAAAACAACGTTATACATCTCCAGAAGGACCTTCAGCCAGTTCTGAGGAACCATCATCAAACACTCCTTCCATGGCAAAACCAAAGAACCCGACCCTGTGGTGCTGATGCATGAGTTAGTGACAACATGAAGATGAGTTAACTCCTGTCAGTAGATACCAATGACCCAACATGTTGAATGCAATCATGGACCCCGACTCAACACAACAAATGCATGCAGGCACTTCCAATAGCGGAAGAAAAACATATGTACCGGGCCACAGCCTCAAACAGAAATGGCACGACTGATAGCCATCTTGGCCCACTCAGCTGATTCTTTAATCAAATGATCATCCGAGGACAGACACTCATTTAAAAATTCCTTGCATGAGAGTGATAGCTGAATCAAAGAACCTGCATTACTTCCCAGTGTATCCGCCAAATCCCCAAGCACCCCAATAGCAGTTTTCATCACAACATCATCCCTGCAATAGAATAAGTGAAACAATTAGATCCAAAAATTAAAGACATCAAAATAAAACATCAACTGAGAACCAGTGATGTAGAGAGTACTAACATGTCTTTCTCCATGTAAATGCTATCCAGAAATTGCAATATGTGAGGTGCATAAGGAATCAACAGCTGAGTTTTAGGAGAGTTCTTAAATCCCTGAAATATCCCTGAGTATGCCTCTAAGATTCCATTCCTCAACAGATTGGTATACTCAATCATTTCGTCATCAGCGCCTGATGTGTGGGCAGACAATTCGGCTGCACTCTGGAGCATAGGCATGGCATACATCAAGTACTTTTCAAAATTCTCGCCAATAGCTAGAGCTATGTCACCAAAGCATGAGAAGATAGGAGGCTTCACAGATCGGTGTAACTGATTGCTCGAGAGGTCTTTCAGGAGCTGGGTCATTATTCCATCACAGTAAGGCAGGACTGTGTCCTCCAATGCCCTGCATATATCACCCACAACACCAACTGTAACAGCACAGACCTGATACTCCTCAAAATTCTGAAGACCCATTTCCAAATATTTATAAAGTTCAGGCATGTACTTAGCAAAATCTGGGCCAGTTGCATGGGCAACAGCTCCAATGGCAAGCATGGCTTCCTCATGCACAGTTGCACTTCTACAAGCAAAAACCCGAAGGAAAAGATTCATGATCTGATCTGCAAACTGCATGAATGCATACTGAGTAGGCTCAGATGCACCAAGTTTCTGAGTAATGACCTGTAAGCACCCACAAAGAAGGCCCTGCAACTCATTCTGCTTCTCTCTCTCATCAGAAGAAAGCTTCTCTGCTTCCAGAGTCTGGTGAAGCTTTGTCATGATGATAGGAACTAACTGCAACACCATTGCAGCTGTTTCATCTGTTGAACACCTCACCACTTCGTTCAATGTCTCATAAGCAGCAGTCCTCAGTCGTGATTCCCCAGCATCTTCTTTGTCAGTGACACTAAGGAGGGATTTGACAATTTCCAGGAAATAAGGAGTTATGGGAGATGCGGACCCAATATCCTCGTAACCCTGCGCAAGAAAATAGAGAGCACCACAGGCCTTCTCAGCAACATTGGGAGCATCATTCATGCTCTGAAGCAGAACACGGATAATCTGCGGACAATTTCCAGGGGTAATGATTGGAGTCTCTACAGTTGAACCATGAAGAAATTCAAATATTCGACCAAGTGTCCACGCCGTTGTATCCTTAACATGACTATTAGGGTCATTTGTGAGAGCAGTGAGCATGAAATTTAGAGCAACATTGACAATGGACGTCAACTTATCAGGCGATGGACCCTCCAGTATGGAACCAAAGGCATACGTGGCAGCCTCTCTCTGCCTCCACTCTGACTTTGTTATGTTTTCTTCTATAAATGGCATGACTAGCGGTACAATATCATCACCAACAGTGCGAGCAACCAAACCAAGGCACGTACCACCAGCCATAGCAAGATTCCAAGCACCCTCATCCAGATCCTGATCTTCTTCTTGCTTTAAAAGTGTCTCTAACAGCATAGGTACAAGAGCAGGGAGAGCCTGCTTGATGAAATAATAGCATGGGACATCTGAGTCTGCAGTAAAATCACCCCCATATTCTTCCAAAATATCTATCTCCTCGTCACATATTGAGCTCCAGAGTTCAATAGCTTGAAGAGCAACGGGCTCCTCATCTTCCCTGACAGCCTTGGCCGTGATATTGAAAATATCCTGGATGTATGGAGCTAACTTCTCATAGTACGTAGAGGAAATCGAGACCAGACATTCAAAAGCAGCCTGTCGGATTTTGACATCAGGAGACAAAGTAGCTTCACACACAACTCTCATGATGTAATCACGCTCCATATCATTGGAAAAATTTGCTTGAGCAAATCCAAGAGCATTATACAATGCTCTGGTAGCTGCAAGCCTGACATCATTATTCCCCTCATTTGCACTCATACCTTGGACAACTGCTGTCAGTATTTTATTCACTTGATCTTGGTCTACCACATCTGGAGAAACTTCTTCACATAAATATCCTAGAGTTTCCAAGGTGGCTTGCTTCACATGAGCGGGGACCTGGTGAATATTTGATAGAAGTGAACCTATCAGTTCAGGCCACTGCTTCTGCGGCAACTCAATGGCTGCAATTTTTGCAATGACTTGTGAAGCAGTAGAGCGAGCATCAGGCACAGGTGAAGAAAGTATCTGTAATAAGCATGTTTTTATCTGGGTTTTCACACCCACATCTAATGCCAACCATTTTTGGACAAGCTCATATTTTCTATGTTGTTCCTTAGCATCCAAAGCATTTTTAAGGATCAAACCAGCTAGTTTACGGCTATCAACTGGTTTGTCCTCACCAGCAAGTTCCCCAGAAAGAGATAATAAGAATACAGAAAGGTTTTGCTCCTGAAACTGCCTCAATGACTCTTCTGCATGCTTTCGTACAGTTGAATCCACTGATTGTGCATTTAGGAGGACCTGGGTAACTTCCATTGCCATACTATCTCTGAAAACATTATAAAGGTTAGCTGTTTAGACAACAAAGCATACTCCAAGAAATTACAGGGATCACAAAAGCAATGAATAAACATTGGAGAGAAACAAATTGAAATGCAAACCTCTGCAGAAAGGTTAAATTCAACACTAACAGCAAGAGTTTAATAGGAGGAAGAGGTCATACAATATTAATGTTAACTGATACATAATTGTGTACATACACATCATATTCTTTGGCTATCAGCAC